ACTTCGATCGTGGATATATAATGTTGATCAAGGATCGAAGGTAAAGGATCCTCGACCGGGGGTCGAAGGTCTTTATGGTCGTAGATAACCACAATCACAGATAGCATAGTCGTTCGTTGTACGAATTTTGGTTGCAGACGTTGTGGTCGAGGAAAATGTCATCGTCGGTCGAGGGTGTGAATTTTTACCAAAAAAGTAACCGATCTCATCGGTCCCTGTCCCGACCAAAATCGACCAGTCATTTCTCCATGTACAAAAACTGGTCCCTAGAATTGAATCCGGTTCCAAGCCGGGCCGAGTTCAGGCCCAATCTCTTCTTTTTTCAAAAATAAAATCTTGTTTGAAGAATTTTTTTTTGAATAATATGTTGTTCAAATACACTTTAAATCTCTAAAGAGATCATCCTATTACACTTCAAAATACGTTTTTAATATGTTTTTGCATTCAATTTACATTTTTTAAATAACTATTATATGTAATTCGTAAATCATAAGTAATAAAAGTTGGTTTTCAATTTTCAAATCTTTAACTTGTTTTTGTACTTTCAAATCTTCAAACTTCAAATATATATATATATATATATAGAGAGAGAGAGAGAGAGGTTGGTTATTATACAACTATTGACATTTGTGCAACCAATACAATTCAATCTCAACTGTCCATTTCATTTGATTAATATGTGATTTCATAGAAGTTTTTATTGTTTCCTAATATAAAGTATCGATCATAATTAATGTCATATTCACATAAATATTTAAATCATAATAAATGAACTCTCATAATAAATGAACTCTCATCATTTCCATAAATATCTCAATACACTGGGTTGCATTGGTTGTACAAATGCGATGGGTTGTATTTGAACCAAACTATATATATATATATATATATATATATATATATATATATATTAGAAGGGTACTCGCACAATGTAGCGAGATACATATCGATTTTAATGTTTTGTTTTTTCTTTGTCTCAGTTGATGTTATAATACGTTTTATGTGATTTTGAGAAAGCGTAATGTTTTCATTTTTAAATAAAATATAAATGTAAAGATATGATAAAAAATTGAAAAAAAACATATTGATATTAATACCAAACTAACTATTTAAAATTTCTCCCTTTTTTGTGTATTTCTTTAATTATTATTTTTTTGATTTTTGATTTTAATAAAATAATTTTTTATAAAGATAATAATTAAGTATTTTGTTAGAAGTTAATTACTATCCTAATTATATTTTAGATTCTTTATATTTAAAATGAGATATTTATCCTTTATTTAATTATGTTTATCTGCAGTTAATTACATGAAACTTTAATAAGTTGTACTTACGCATAATTTACTTATAACCTTGAATTTTAAGTAATATGTATTAAACAGTACTTTATACATAAAAAAAAATGGTTTTTAAGAGTTTTTATCAAATGCTTTATATTATAGTATATATATATATATATTATACAGAAAATTTTAAATATATTTTTCATTAAGATTTTTGAAATTTAGTATTGAAATACACTTTAAATAATACATTTAAGTATATAAAATCTTGAAACACTTGGAAAGAACTTCAAAAAAGAATTTGAAAAACCTAAAAAACTTCTTAGTTTTTGGTATAACAAAAACATGAAAATCTTGTATGATTTATAAAAACTTATTTAAAAAAAAATCGGGCCTATGTATAACCGGTCCCTAATTTTCATAAAAACTATAATCGGTACCGAACTGTCGAGCCTAATTGGTCCAAGTCGGTCCGTGCTACAGCAGATAAAATCAAACCAAAGATTAAACACGTTGACTCCATAGATACCCGTGAATAATCTCTTCTTAGGTTCATTAATTCAACGAACACCAAATCTTGGGCTTCAAATTCAAATTCAATGTGAGCTTAGAATTTGGAAAGAAAATGGAAGTTTCTGAATTCAAGCTACGACCATCCAAATTACACAAACATAAGGTAAATAAGTTGGGCAAAAAAATAGGTTTGAAAAAGTTGATGAGTTGAACATTAAAGCCCAAATGAAACATATAAATAGCATCAGAAAACACAACAGTGTCAAAAAAGATGCTTAAACAACGTTTTTATACCTCAAAAATTTCGTAGGCTTCGGGACCTATCCAGGACATGCTCCTTGTTTCAAGCGGTTTAACTGTTCATAAGCCTGAAATGCCTTAACGAAAGTTATACATATTTAAGAATGACACTCTTTTTAGCCTGATCATGGCCCCGGGCCCGATCCTCCACGTCAAGACCCGCAAGACCAGGCCGGGCCCTATTTGGTCCATCTCTAGTCAAAACAAGTTAAGTTTGTCTATCTCTAAGGGGCCGTTTACTAAACGCTTACCCGGTAAGTACTTACCGGGTAATTTTCCTCACCGGATGAACTTGGATGGCAAAGGCCAAGAATCTTATCCGGTAAGAACGAGAATAAGGATGGAAAGTCTTACCCGGTCAGTGAGGGTGACGACTCTTACCCGGGTAAGCGCTTACCAGGAAAATTGTTGCATGAAATATGTTTTTGATGTACTCCAACCTTACCCAATAAAATAAATTATAGCATTGACTCCTAACGATAAGCACTTACCGGGTAAACATTTAGGTAAACAGCCCCTAACTTCATTTTAGTTATGAAGCATCTCATTAGTAATTTCTATATACAAAGTTATAATACGTTACTTTTTCTCCGGTAAATGCATCAAATAGATCAAGATTTTTATGGGTATCCTTAAAAACGATGGTTGTCTTTTTGGCAAAAGTGAAATCACATCAATGAGTGTCTAATTAATTAAACTTACAATTACAAATACAACAAAAAAAGGCTTCTTTACAATGCCAAATGCAAAGCAACTGTTATAAACATCATCAAACTGCCTTACATTAAACATTAAATACAACATTTGGCATGCACGTGTACAACATTTAACACTTAGTCTTTACATACATATCATACCTCCTAACTTGCAATTACCTACCATGTTGATGCTGATGCTGGAGAAGATGAAAACCTATCCGCAATAAGAACAAGCAAATAGCAGCATCTGTGAAACCCAATCAACAATCCAGTTAGGGTGGTATACACACCCACACCTTAAATTAAGGGACCATTTACCAAATACTTAACCGGATAAGCACTACCTTACTGGGTAAGCATGGCAAGGACCAAGAATCTTATTTGACAAGTGATTGCAGGTAAGAGCTTACCTATAGGTGTTTGGCAAATGGACCCCTAAGTGATTCAAACGATTCCGTGAACATGGATGGAATGTTACATGAATATCCTTGTACCTACCTAAACCAAATCAAACCAACACAACCTACTATATCCCACACATAGGTAGGGTCTCGAAAATGACCTATCAACTAGGGCCTTGATGATAATGGCCAGAAAATCCTCAGTGACCTTAAGTCGTAGCCTTTATTTGTCGGTGGAACTGGCCATCAAGGTTAGCTACTAGGAACCTTTGCTCTTTCAGACAATGGAACATGTGACTAGACGACTTTGCACACGACAAGGCTCTTTTGGGTGTAAATATTATGAAGCTAAATCACCACTGCTCTCACATGCATCTAAAAGAGTTTGATAGCTGAAGGATGCCATCATAAGCACAGTGAAGACTGTAAGCTCTGGAGTTAAAGAGTGTAAATTTAGAGAAGACTATTAGGCCTAGGGCTAAAATGACATGTTTACAACTTGTGAATTATCATCCCTAACTAAAATAAATTTGGTGGTTATCCACCACTGACATTTGTATCATCCTGATATATGCACATATTTATAATCATGTTCTTGTGGAGAAGGCATACATGGAATGACCATCTGGTTTCATAGGTCAGTAAGAGGCATCTAAAGTTCGTCGATTGGCAGATCCCTATTTAGTTGTATTATGCCTTAAAGAAAGTCAGTTTGGCATGGCAAATCAATTGGTCTGGTCATCTACGTTAAAAATATTGTACCAAGGATGACTAGGAGGTTATACTGGCTCCTAAGATTCCTTATTCGAAAAGAGCTTAAAGAAAACTACTTTGAAAACATGAACTATTTTGTTTTCAAGAGTTGAGGTGTCAGATCTCATTAAGGCGTATTTCTTAGGAGAAGTAGACATGCAAACAACAAATTCCCCAATCAATCAAATTTTCTGTATTTAGCTATACCCCAAAAATGGTGACTTGCCTAGGATACAGGATTACAGGGAAATACAAAACATGAGTCAGTAGACTGAAACTATAACACAAAAGACTTATTCTGAGACTTCAGTAATGGAGATTCGGATTGTTGGGGGATTACTATCATGGAGTCGCTAGGCCTCGTATAGCTTTTTGGTGAGCATGTTGATTCAGTTTATAAAATGTGCTAGTCATTGGGATGCCCTGTTGCAAAGTCGAAAATATCTCGGCAGTGCTTGGGATGAGGCCTTTTATGCACATTCTCAAGCATCCCGTATTTGACAAGAGTGCAGAGCATATCAAAGTCTACTCACTTTTTTCACAACAAGGTGGTGGTACTTCTGATGAACCTCTTATCTATTGAACCATTATGGATGAACCTCAGAGATCAGGTAGCAGATACTATGATAAAACCACTTTAGAGAACATAAATAGATCCTAAATGTGAAGATTTGGGAACTTATGATATATATATGCTCCAACTTGAAAGTGTTAGAAACTCCAAGGATATATATATATATATATATACAAGGAGTATCAAACGAGAACGTGACCTATTTAAAAGAACACGAAAATGGGCGAATCACATGTGATTTTACACTAACATCACATACATAATCACGTGTGATCCAAGCGACCTTGCCCCGCGACTTGAAGACGCAGCCACAAGTCGTCCGGACACTTTTTTTGACCTTTGATGTAAAATCACATGTGATTTTGCACGTGATTTGCCCGTTTTCATGTTCTTTTAAATAGGTATCGTTCTCGTTTGATCCTGCCTCTCTCTCTCTCTCTCTCTCTATATATATATATATATGTAATTTTGTCTATGTTATACTTTTAGGTTTTCCCCTTGCTCAGTCCATGGCTCACAATTGTGCATCAATTATTTATTTGTTCTTGGCTCGTGTAATAAGAGAGATGCTCTTCCAGGTCATCTCGATGACCTTGACCACAATATAGTAATAGTCTTGAATGTTTTCAGCCTACATAGTTAAGGAGCATATGCCAACATTTTGTCCAGGGTCTTTTTCGAGTATTTTTAACAAAAGCAACTGAGAGCACCCATCCCTGTTCATAAGATGGTTTCAACTAAACGAGGGAACAAACAACAATTAGGAGTTTGCCGTACCAGGATGGACTTCGCAGCTGTGATCGTGTACTTCTCATATGGCCTTCATTTGCAATATTTTATTCCTGGCAAAGAGCATTAACCTTTTATTAGTGATGTACCAAGTCTGAGTTGCTTCACTATTTACAATTTTCTGACAAGGATGTTATGTATGAAGGGAGAAACTCTGTTTAACATCATGTTCCACAAAAAATATTATGACCTGCTCTGCACAACATCAGAGTGTCAACTCGGCACAGGACCATGTGCTTTGGAAGTAGTCGATGTATTAATACATATAACTACTCTTTTGAATGGAATGCAGAAGCATAAGAAAACACTCAACACTCGTGATTGGAAACTTTTCATGAATTGAGTATTGGGGAAAAGAATGAATATTGAATGTTATATGTTATTACCCCATCCATTGACTAAACCCTAAAACCCTTGCAAAAGAAGTGAAGCAGAAAGCCAGAAACCAATAACGAATGTTGAATGTTTTTACACTGACCAACAACCTAAAGCCAAACCCATGCAAAGGATGTGAAGAAGAAACACATGCACATGCCACAAGATTGGTGCATAGTGAAAGTTCTCCCCTTGCTTAGTTTTTTAAGAAATCAAATTGACAAGAGTCTAGAACAAAATAAGCTAAGTAGTAATGTTGACATATTTTTCATCGAGACCACAGATACATTGAATAAACTGTCTTCACTCAGGATCCTATTTGAAACTCAGCTACCATGAAGACATAAATAAAATCCACTTTATATAACTACCACATAATGTAACAAGTAATAATTACCATTTTCATGGTCCTGGAATTATAAATCAGTTCTCCTAGTCTTCTGCGACTTTGATGCTTGTTCTGCTTCAGCAATTCCAGGTTTCCTCTTTGAGGGTCTTGCACGTCGTGAATGTTTTAGTTGCTCTTTTGAACGATTAGGGCCATTCTTGATTGCAAAGTTTGCAGCTTAGTTAGTCAAAAGTAGTACAAAATGTGGATTATAGAGAACGTAAGAATCAAATTCTTTTTCTAACTTCAGCTTGTTGAACATGAAATATATAATTAAGCAGGCGTTCAGAACATAGATCATAGGAGCTTTCCACAATAGGATGAGCTAGAATCATCTGACAAGAAAAGGCATTAATGTTTTGCCTGTACAAGAATATGAAATCTAATGTTGTTAGGTAAAATATATCTTCAATTTTGCAGCATACCATACCTCAATTACTACAGTTGCTTCTGAAGTTGTTTTACGAGGCCTAAGGCTTCGTCGGACTGGTGTCGCTCGCTCAAGTTGATTCTATAAGAAAAACAATAAATTGAATGTAGCATACGAAATAACTAGGAACAAGATCAAATTAGCCAGATGAAACATAAATGATACCTTTGCCTTCGTAGTTGCCTCTTCTTTCTTGCAGCTAGACCTCAGTCCTTGTCTTAATGGTCGCCTTTGCTCACCTTGATGCTTATGATCTGGAAGGTTCACCTTCGCAACACCTAAAGACTTACACGGAAAAGCTCCCGAGACTTCAATTATACTACTTGATGACGCCACATTTTCATTGCTCGCTGCATTGTTTTCTTCTTGACCTGCATCTTTCTCAGATGCTTCAGTTTGTTGTATGCATGGCTGGCTTCGCTCTTCAGTCCTTTCAACACATTGTTCTTGTGGCTGATATCTTTGTACCTTGACATCATCCTCACATTCTTCTGATTGATTCTTTTCAAATCCTGCCTCATTTTCACCCTTCTGCCCTTCTTTGGTTCCTTCCATTACTTCTTTTTGTGGTTGAACTTGTCCTACAACAGTGTCATCTTCTTGCACTCCGTTATGCTCCACACTTGTCATTTCCAATTGGGATCCACTTCCGATCATGTCCGCACTTGTCCTTTCCAATTGGGATCCACTTTCGATCATCATAAAATCTTGTTCTACTGCAGTAAGGTTATTCATTAGTTCAGATTCTTCCTGAAGCAGTTTTTTGTGTTGTCCTTCCTGTTGAGGTTGCCCTTGGGATGTTACAGTTTCTCGTTTTTCTAACGGACCCTGGTACACTTCTGATTTATTATGTTCCTCATTGTCCCCTTCTACTTCTGCTTCGGTTTGTGTCATCACCAAATCCTGCAGGCAGTTAGAAACACCATGCATTAGTACAATATCTTTCTCTTTCACTTTGTTTAGTTGTTCTTCTGGATGTTCATCTTCGGCAACTTCAACTTCTCCTTCTATATGAACTTGTTTCATGACATCCCTCTGTTGTTGCTTATGCAGCTGAAATTTGTTCCCTCCCATGCAATGCTCTTGTGGCAGAACATGATTTTCAGCAACATTTGGTCGCTCTTCTGACTCATTCTGTATGACATATGCCCTCCCAACTTCTGTTTCACCATGATTCATCCGTAAATCTTGTTGCACTTCACTATCCATCACAAGCCCAATTTCTTTCTGATTTACTTCTGTTTGTTGTTCTTCCTGTTGGGGTTGCTCTTCAGCTGACTCAGCTTCTCCATTTTTCAGCAAGTCTGGTCCACAAGATTGAATTTCCTCTTCAGTCCTTTCAATGCATTTCTCTTGTAGATGAATTGGTTCTTCGGTCACATCATCATGCTCTTTCGACTGTTCTTTTGTGTCTACTTGTTCTTCAGTCAAACAATCGTGCTGCTCTTCTGCTTCAGTCTTTTCCACATTTTCCACTCCTGCCTGAACTTCATACTGAATTACCAGTGCATCTCTTTCTTCATCTGTCAGTACCCTTCCTTTCTTAATTTCCTCATCTTGAAGTGGCTTACCAACCTTCTGCACTTGTATTTCTAGCATTTTTTGTTCAGTACCTCCACCATTTTGTTGTTCCTCTTCGGTACCTTTCTTGGGCTGTTCTTCAGGCCGAATTTGTTCTTCAACGGTATCATCATGCTGTTTTTCCACACTAGCATCTTTTACTTGTACTTCACATTGCATCATCACTGAATTTTGCTCATCACCCGATCGATGATCTTGTTTCTGTAGTAGATCCTGTTCCATACTTCCTCTTTGTGGTGGCCCCTGGGTGTAAAAGTTACAATCATTCTCTTCCTTGCTCTGTTTTTGCAGGTCAACTTGTTCTCCACTTAGATGATTTTGTTGCAGCTGTGATCCAATCTGTTCCATACTTTCTCCTTCTCCTTGCTTCTGTTTTCCAATCCATTCTTTAATGACACCAACTTCTTGTTCATCACTTCTAGCCATCAACAAGTATTGACCTTCCTTAACTTCGTCATCTACTTGAAGTGTCTCTGGAAGAACTTCATTGCACCGCTGGTGTTTCAATTGTAGTTTTTCAGCTACTTCAGTGTCCACCCTTTCATGCTGTTCGCAGGGTAGAACTTTATCATCTATTACACTCATAAGTTGTTCTTTGTCTAAAAATTGTTTCTCAACAGTATCAGATTGCTGGTTTTCTTCTGGTCGGTTATGTTCCATATTTATTGCTCCTTTTTCTTCCTTGAGTTTTAATTGTTCAACATGTTCATCTACTTCAGCATCACAATTAATCATCACAGCATCTTCACCGACATAATCTTCTAGTTCAATGACTTCTTCATCAGACTCTGGAAGATATTTTCCAGCCCCTTCTAGTTTCCGCACACCCCGACCAATCCACACCACGTTATACTGTTTTCTTTGATGACCTTTCTCCTTAATCCCTTCCTCAAGTTGCTCACATGGTTGAAATGGTTCTTCACTGACATGCTGTTTGCTTCCAGATCGCCTCTGTTTCACACATCCTCCCTTTCCTTGAATGTGTTCTCCACGGCTAATCCATGTAAAACTACACTGATTCTGTGGCTGATATTGCTCATTAGCCCCTACCTTATATTGTTCACATGGTAGATTTTCTTCTTCATCAACAACAATTTTCATTCTTCCTGATCGCCTCAGTCCTACAATTTCTCCCTTCTCTTTTCCATTTCCATTTCCATTTCCATTCCATTCGCCGCCAACCTTTTGATCTATGATCACTTCGGTTTGATCTTCTACTGAGAAAGCTGTTTCAACAACCATGTTGTTCTTTTTTTGTGGTTGATTTTGTTGTTTTTCAGCTCCATCTTCTTGTCCTTCCTGGTCAATCCTTGCCATAATATCGTAAAGTTGTCCATCTTGAATTGCATCCTCTTCAACCTCCATTCCCATAACTTCATTTTGTCCTTCAGTTACCTGTTTGGGTTCTTCTAGCTTGCTTATGTTTTCAACTACCTGCTCTTCTTCTGTTTGAGATTCTTCACCAATCTTAATCTCGTTACCTGCTCTACCCCGTTGCCGTACATGAATCGTCCTC